AAATTAAGGTTTTGGAGTGGCCAAATCAAAGTCCAGACTTAAATCCGATTGAGATGCTGTGGCATGACCTTAAACAGTCCATTCATTCTCAAAAACCCTCCAATGTGGCTGAATGAAAACAATTCTGCAAAGAAGAGTGGGCCAACATTCCTGCGAAAGACTCATTGCCAGTTATCACAAACGCTTGATTGCAGTTGTTGCTGCAAAGCGTGGCACAACCAGTTATTAGATTTAGGGGGCAATTACTTTTTCACGTAGGGCCAGGCAGGTTTGGACAGCTTTTTTCCCTTAATAAATGAAATCATAATTTCAAAACTGCAGTTTGTATTTACTCAGGTTATCTTTGTGCAATATTAAAATGTGTTTGATGATCTGAATCTTTTAAGTGTGACATATGCAAACAATAAAAAAAAAAAACAGGAAGGGGGCAAAAACTTTTTCACACCACTGTGTGTGTGTATACATACATACATACATACACCATGTTTATATGATTAACTTCTCACATAAAATTTCCCAGGCAGAAAAAGGTCAATTTTGTACTGTCTGTAGTGTAGCAATGTACATACTGTATGAACCACAGCTCACACAGAAGTCACTTTTAAACCGAGGAGCTTTCTGTCAATGTAGCAAATTTGCATGACCAGCTTGAACCTGTTACGAAATCTGTGTGGGGAAATCTTTCACCCTCACATGAAATTCCTTATATGGCAATGCTGGCTCATCCAATGGCTATCTTCAGAAATTACAATGCACACTTAAAATGTTTGAGTTGCCTACTACACGTGTTTGTGACTTTAGTTTGTTGTGTTTTTGTAAAGATATATGCCTGCATGATGGTGTTCTTCCTCAGCAACATGATTGAAAACCAGTGTATGTCCACTGGTGCCTTTGAAATCACACTTAATGGTAAGATTGATGATTAATTATAGATCAAAATATTCCAGCACCAAGATTTCACACAGCTGTTGAAACTACATGATGTTTATGAGTGATTTTTTCCTCTGCGTGTGTATGTTTATGTGCTCACAGATGTGCCTGTATGGTCAAAGCTGCAGTCGGGCCACCTGCCCTCCATGCAGCAGCTGGTGCAGATTCTGGAGAATGAGATGAAGCTGAGTGCACACATGGACTCTCTTCCACACAGACGGGCGTAGAGATGTATTAAATAAACCGACTGGCTGTGGCTTGTGGGTAGTCTGATGGTTTTTTTTGGCACCATAAATTAAAGGGGTCATATGATGCTATTTTAAAGATCATTATTTGGTGTAACAGAATATGTTGACATGCTTTAATATTCAAAAAACACATTATTTTTCAAATACTGTACATTATTGTAGGTCCGGCATTATGCTAATATTTCCACATAGTGACCTAGATATGTGGGGGAGTGTTAGAACGAGCCGTTTTAGGTAGGCGTGGTTGACTCTTAACTTTTATAAAGAATATTTGAGACTTTAGTCTTTACAACTTTACAGATCTTCTTTATGCACCAAGAGCTTGTAACACTCCAAAGAGAAAGGAAAACTTGAAATCGCATCATATGACCCCTTTACGATCAAAGATCTTGAATGTGTCCACAAGGATTCTGCAGGTCTTATTTCAGCTTTCCATAATTGAAGACCTTAAAAGACCTTTAAAACGTTAAATTCAGAGAGTTTTCAACCTTATACGTCAAACATTTATCTTTTCCCTCTTTGTAACTTCCTCTCCAGGTGTGTGATGCGAGGCGTTGGTGTGTGAGATGGCATTAATGAAGGTTTGCACCGAACGCAGTGTGTCTGCTGGTGTAGACTGGATGTCCAGCCCTCTCTCACTGCTCCATGGGTCTCTCTATATCCACAGCCCTACAGTCCTCGGCTAATAATTATGGAGGAAATGGAAGGTTTCATCTGCAGATATTCTGCTGTCATCCACCAATAAAAACACATGCTGTTAAGTGGGTCAAGTTGGTGTTAAATACAGTGTTTCCCTGTTTTGGGGTGCATGCAGTAGACTGCTGTATTAATGAATGAAATCAGTTTTCAGATTTGGATTTTCAAACTCTTTGTAATATCTGCGGAACTACAGTTCTGTTGTTGATTTTTCTCTCTCTCTCTCTCTCTCTACCCTTTCATCTTTCTTCATGTGATCTTGTGCCAATTTATTAATTCCACTGATGTTTATGCACATTTTCAATGGATGTTTTAGACAACGGTATTCGTTAGAAATGTATAACTAAATATGTACTTGTACTTTGATTTTGATTTTTGACCATTTTTTATTATTTGTTTATTTTCCGTTTTGAATAAATTCTTGATTCATTGAAACTGAATGGCAGTGATGTATCAGACGCAAAAACAAACACAATCACCAGCTTTCTTGTCGCCATGGCATCAGGATTCAGACGCAACTCAGATGATTCGATTCTTTACACTACAAATCAGGACCAAAATTCACTGTTGTTGATTTTTCTCTCTCTCTCTCTCTCTGCCCTTTCATCTTTCTTCATGTGATCTTGTGCCAATTTATTAATTCCACTGATGTTTATGCACATTTTCAATGGATGTTTTAGACAACGGTATTCGTTAGAAATGTATAACTAAATATGTACTTGTACTTTGATTTTGATTTTTGACCATTTTTTATTTGTTTATTCTCCGTTTTGAATAAATTCGCTCAATGGATGTGTAAACAAATGGTGTCTTTTGTCATTGGTCTCAGAAGACCGAATACAATATTTTATATTTTCAGGATGTTTTTTTTCCTTTTCCGTTTATAGGAGACGTTTGTTCATTAAGCGGTAGGATTTTAAACATTTTAATGGGAATACTAAAACGATTGAATAAAACTGATATCCAGTTGTGTGATTGGTTCATCCTGGACAGCGATGAAAAAAGTAACAGACCCCACATGAAAAAGCGTCTGAAAACATCTGCTGGATCTTTCGAGGGAGATTACATCTGACTTTGTAAATGATTAAAATATATATATATTAGTTATATCATATATTACCAATGTTTTGGCATGTGAAGCTTTCTTAAAACCATGCAAATAAAGCTAACCGAACGTGTCACTTTTAGAGGACCACTAGATGGCGCCCGCTATTTAAACAGAGCTCGGTCACATGGTATGCTTTTGCAAGGGAAGTAACGTGTATAGAGAACGCGTGTTGCGAAGCGAAATGTGATTTTTGTTCTATTTTGTTTTTCTTTTGTAATTCATTTTTAGCGTGAAAGTCTTCCGGCAGATGAAATTCTGAATTAACAGTCATGTGGAGTTAACGCGAGGTGAACGTGACCATAAGTTCTTTAGGCTGTCTGTGTCATTAGGGCATGCATGCTACTTAAATTTGCTTCATGTATTATCAGTTCGTATGATCACTAGGTATTTACTGTTATCCTGTTTAGTGCCAATACAAAAAGTCTAGGCAAATGCATTATAGAGCCGATTAAGTTAGTCATAGTCAAAAGTCGATAGTCATCCAGGTGTGTTTTGGAGGAGTGATGGATGGGGATCCAGCAGGAATGCATTTATCACAACAGTCATCATCAAGCATGGAAGTGAAAGAGGATATGGATACCGAAAGTGAGCATCAGCCATCAAAAGATGCTTTGATTGACATCAGCTTTTGCGGATCCACTCCTCTGTTGTGGAAGGTGTCGGACATGAGAAGGTGCAGATCTGTGGGAGCGATCGGGGCTCTGGTGGGCTCTCTGGCCCGTCAGCCTCGGCAGAACGTGCGGCTCGGCAGACCGCTGGAGCTCCTGCAGGAGGAGGCGCTGCTGCTGGAGGACACGAACACTGCTGCTGCTTCACTGCAACCTCAGGTGGCACACTTCACCTGTAGAGCCACAGAATGCAATCATCTATCTATCTATCTATCTTAAAGGGGTCATATGATGCGATTTCAAGTTTTCCTTTCTCTTTGGAGTGTTACAAGCTCTTGGTGCATAAAGAAGATCTGTAAAGTTGCAAAGACTAAAGTCTCAAATCCAAAGAGATATTCTTTATAAAAGTTAAGAGTCAGCCACGCCCCCCTAAAACAGCTCGTTCTAACACGCCCCCACATGCCTACCTCACGATGTGGGAAGATTTGCATAACGCC